TTGACTGATCGAAAGCAGTCGGTGTATTTTAATGGAAGTTTTTCAGATGTGAAACTTGTGAAACATGGAGTTCCTCAAGGAAGCTGTCTTGGGCCGCTCCTGTACACAATCTTCACGAATGATCTTCCCTCAGTATTAGAAAGAGCAAGTATCTCAGTGTATGCAGATGACTCCACCATATATTTAGCAGATGGAAACATCAATGAATTAAATACTAATTTACAGAGAGAATTAAAGTCAGTTGTAGACTGGATCAGTAGTAATAAACACATTTTAAATGTATCTAAAACAAACAGTTTAGTGGTTGGAAATAATTATTCTTTATGTGCTAATCCAAAGCTTGATCTAAGTATAACTCAGACAATAATAAAACAAGTAGAATAAATCAAACTGTTGGGAGTTATCATTGACCACAGACTTTAATGGGACTAACATGTACAGAAATGAATAACGAAAATGGGAAATACTTTGTCCATGATCAAAAGGTGTGCAAAAAAACAACAAACACTTAAACAAGTAATTCAAGCCTTATTTTTCTCTCATCTTGATTATTGCTCTGTGGTTTGGTCAAGTATTTCAATAAGTAACGTAAAAACAAATTGCAACTGGTCCAGAATAAAGCTGCACGAGTAGCTCTCTCCTGTGGTTTCAGATCAAATGTCAGTAAGACGCATGAATGCCTCTCTTGGTTGGAAGTTAAACATAGATTATTATATTCACTCATGGTTTTCTTATGGAATATGAAAACAACAAAAACTCCTTTTAACTTGTACAGAAGATTATCTTTCAGTACAGACACACACCATTATCCAACAAGGCATGCTGTGCGAGGTTGTTTTACTCTTCCTAAATTAAGAACATCAGCATCTTAACGTTCAGTAACATACAGAACAATGCTGGAATGGAATTCACTCCCAAGTAATATTAAACACCAAAGGACTGTATACAGTTTTAAAAGAAGTCTTAGAGAACATTATCTACGGAGAAACTTTAGTCAGTACTGATAGGACTACTGGGCCTTTTTTTGTGTAACCATGTTATGTCTTAGATGCTGTAAATCAGACGGAGCCTTTTGTGTTTGTCTGTTTCTTTTGGGTTTTTTGTTCATTTATGTCAACTGTCTATTATTTTTACTTATTGAAGAAAAGTGTTGGAATGTTTGTGTAGTGTGAAAAAAATAATATATAACATGAATTTGTAAAATGTATTGTCACAATATAAACTGCGGAATAGCTTCTTGCTATGCTGAAGCTCATGGGGATCCAAATAAAACAAACAAACAAACAAACCTAGTGTGTGATAAAAGTAAGTTACTTCTGTTATGTTCTGTTTGCCTTATACTTACTTTAGCAAAAGGGGCAAGCAGCTGCTACCTAGCAGGAGTAGTGTATTTGCTGTCAACATAACAAAAGAGGAATCTTTTTTTTTCTTGTCAGTAATAGTAATTTTGTTTGAAAGTTAATAAAAGAACCTCACAGATGATTTCTGCTGTGACTTTGATTTGAATCTTGCTTGTTCTGTGGCTGACTGATTTACCTAAACAAATGAAAGCAAAGGAAGTTGTGAGCATGATGGAACAGTTGACATTGTACATTTATTCAACTATCAGAGAAATTTGTACGTTTTTATTTTGAATTGTCCTTGCACTTTACTCTCTCACTTACTCTGTAGTGTCAGAGAATCTTAGAGGGAAAATTTTAATCCATTATGTCTGTTTGACTGATATATCCCTCCAACACTAAATAAATGTTAAAATCTTGCTCTTTGGATCTTAAAAATGCTGACGATGTGTTGATTTTGATAGTAAAACAAGTCTGTGTTTAGTAAAAAATGAGTCACTTTAAACCATAAAAACAAGTCTCCCTCATTTGCATGACCCTGTGAGTTGTGTGTGTGTGTTGCCTGATTTTAATGTGGGTGATGCAATTTGTCATGTTGGAGTGGTTGAGATAGGGATGGTAGGATTGTCCAAGTGGAATCCAGGCTCATTCACTGGTAATTTTGAAAATGCTTCTGCGAATGGTAAACTGGCACAACCCACAATGATGTTTAGTATATAACCAGACAAGTTCAACTGGAAGACATCTTGTTGCTGAAAGTTAAAGCTGACAAAAAGCGGATCAAAGTCACTACTGGGGAACATGTTGATGACCAGCAGCTACATCAGTCCCTTCATCCTCAACTTTATCCTCGCTCTTTTTTTTCAGGCTTCTGAACAACACAGAAGGTATGTGCATGTGCCTACTCTAATGAGCTGGGATGATGCCCTAAAGTACTGCAGAGCGAACCATATGGACCTGGCCATTTTTAGAAATCAGAGCGAATTTAAAACACAACACTATCCATGTTGGTTGAACCGCTGTTGGATTGGTCTCCATAGAGACCATGAAGATCCCCGTGTCTGGACCTGGGCTGATGGAGCAGAAGTCAGCTTTACAAGCTGGTTCTACAATGAACCTGATGACCTCACTGAGAGATGTTCTTTTATGTGGGTGAATTCTTGGTATGACTCAGACTGTCAAAATACATATGAAAGTTTGTGCTCTGAGGATGATCTGATCTTAGTGAAAGAAAAGAAGACATGGGAGGAGGCTCTGGAACACTGCAGGACCCTTCAAACTGACCCTGATTCAAAAGACACGCACTTCAACCATCTCTACGACCTTCCACACATGCATGCTGAACATAACAACCTATATGCCAAAGACTTGATCCAAAAGGCCCAAACAGAGGAGGTGTGGATAGGTCTACGTTTCCTGGCAGGAAACTGGCTGTGGGTGAACGGCTTCCCTCTGGAGGAACAACTGCTGGTCTGCCCTAAACCCAAGATGAACTGTGGGACAATGTCGAAGACAGGAAGTCGTTTGTTCAGAGACTGTTCAGAGAGGAGAAATTTTTTGTGCTCATTAAAAAAGAATCTGAATTAATATTTGAGCTATATTTTGTATGTTTGCTTTTTTTTTGCTTGTGATGAGGAGAACAGCAGATACATTTTTATTTCAAAGTTAAGAAATGTTTCTTATTGTTTTAGAATTGTAATTTCAGAGTAGTTTGTTGCAGTAATTTAGATCATATTTCTATAGGATGTGTATATATAGTTTTATATGATTCGAGTTGTAGAATTGTGCAAATTACTCCTGCACTTATGGGAAAATAAAAAAAATAATTGTGCAATTTATGTGTGTGAGTGTGATTTATTTTTTGCAAACAAAAGAAACTACTGCAAAAGTTGTGTATTAAAGTCTGCTATCCCTACAAACCAACTGAAACTGGTAAGAATATGAAACATTCTATTTAATATTATTATTTATTTATTTAGTAACCTAGATTTCAATCTATACACATAAAAATGTAATCCCATTAACAATATGTAGAGTAAGGTGAAAACTTCACTGTAGGTTAATCACTATCAAGGTTCCCTACAATTTTGGAACAAAAACAATTGTCCTGCCTTTAATTTGAAGTCAGTAATTTGAAATGTAAGGTTAAAAAGTGGTCATAATAAGTTAGAGTTAAAAAATTAAAAAACCTAAAACTTTCTGCATTAGCTCGTGGTTTATACGACCATCTACTGGTCACTGTGGGTAGTTGTTAAGTAAGGATTCACATTGCTGCTGAATGCTTTTCTGTTACACGTCTGTTGTCGAGATATAAATACAAAATTCACTTTTTGTTCTTTTTGTCTTACATGTTCTTTGCTAGCTAATGCTAACTGTAGTAGGTGACAGTTTCCTTTCATTGCTATGATAGCATGTTTTTAATATTACAGTTTTAAAAACAAAAAACAAATGGATTCAAAACTCCAGTAAAATACAGAAAAGACATGCCTTGTGTTTTTATTGGAGGACTTTTGGAATGTTATCTGGCTGTCTAATCCTGTACATTGAAACATGCAGAAAGGGCAAGTGATAAGAATATTAATACTAAGTGCATAGACACTCCTTAATACTTACTTACAATTTCTTTTTCAAGAATCACCTGACAACACCTCCTTCCAATTAGCTGTCTATTTAAGCTGCAAGATTTAAATTTCTCTCCCTCTGCTCCTTCATTGCCAGCTCTGATCTGCACCAGTGCTGCACTCTTGCTCAATAAATCTGCTGCAATAAATATTGGCAAGTGAGTTGTCTGACTAGCTCAGTAAAGTAATAATACTAGACTTCATTTGGCATGGCCATCACAGATACATCGGACGAACCAGATGCATTTTTTAAGTGTTTTAGCAAGCATGCTACACTCAAAGAAATGAACTAGGGCATGTGTTTGATTAGCAAACTAGGAATTTGTTTACATAAAATGAATTAATCGTGTTTCGCTCTATTAAATGATTAATTCTTGTTCATAAAACAATTATAAACACACACATCAATCCAATGAGATGTGGGTTCATCAAAACAACTACTGTTGTACTGTGTCAGCTATTGTGCATGCTCAAAGCCCTTGACCGAGCGCAGAGACAGACTGACACTGACGAGCACATGCTGCGGCTGAATGTTTGACTTCCTACTAACATGTAAGTAATGCATATATATACAAACATAAATGTTTTAATTTAACCTGGCGAGTGATAAATTATAGTTGTGAGACATTTCTCAGTTAAAAAGTTTATCATTTGTGTCAATGATTTCTCAGTTAGCTCTAGGTAGCTCAACTCCGCCATGCTAGGTTTCTATCATTTACACCCAGAGTAGCTACAGTATTTCTCATTATTGTTTTTTTGTGTACTTCATGTGCCATTCAAATAGCGATAGATTAACATACAACAAAGTTTGTAAGTAGTCCACCGCAGTCAAATGTGTTTCGAGCGGTTAATGTTAATCTAGCGTGACTGTATCGTGAGCATTATTGTTTTAATGTCAGAGGAAGCACAAACTTTAGCACAAGGCTTCGGCTTAAATCAACGGACTCGCTTTTGTTTTCAGCCGGGGCTTTATGGGTGACTGACGACTCCTGCGCTTCTCTAGCTGTGTGTATTTCAGTTAAGCGGGCTAAATGTGTTAACTGAAATAAGTTAAGATGGAGGACAGCGGGTCTGTCGCAGCAGTTGTGTTAAGGTAACAACAAGAAGCAAGTTGAATTCATTAGATAGTTCTGTCTCTAACCTAACAACATTAGAACATGTCGAGTATGTTCGTTTCCTTGGATTTTCACTGGTCAGTTGTACCATTCTGAAAATGATTCACTATCTGTATTTAGGTTTTGTTTTATTAAATATATGTTCCTCTACATTAAGTTAAATGGTCTGTGTGTCTACCTACAAATACTGAAATGTTTATTCACAACATATGCCTAAATATTGCTTGAGTTTTTAACATTTTATAACTGTTTCTCTTTTATTAACCAGAAATACATCAGAAATTCAGCAGTCCCCATGCCTTGAGATGTTTATGTACCTCATGCAGTACATGGTAAGTTAATATTTTTATCATATTGATTATCCAGTGCCAAATGTGCGTTGTGCACACATCTAAAATTGAGGATTAGTGTTTTAGCTTATATGTAGTGTTACATTATTTTTCCAAATGAATTTGCTTTAATTCCTGCTGTACGAGGCCTGATAAATACCGGTATATTTGTTCATATTTTGTATTAAGCTTCCTTTTTGCAGATTTCCTCCAGTTTTCTGTTTTCAATGTTTGATACTGCATTGTTAATACAAACTCATCATCATCACCTGCATCAATATTAAAGCATTAACATTAAAATTCCTTTGGCATTTCAAAGGACAGAACCCCTACAGTACTCCTAATGTACAGGCACATGAAAAATTCTCTGGCTTGGAAGATTTATTTAAGTCAAGTGCTGAGCTAAAGTGTACATAAATTATCATTTGCTAATCTTTTTTTTTTCTTCTTCTCTTCTTTCTTTCAGTGACGTGTATGTGGCAGTGCAAACATTGTGTGGCAAGAGAGAGTAGTAGGTACAAATTACTTAAACATTATAAACCACATCATCATTATGGGAGAAGCCAACATTATCAATGCCTTGCACATTCAGGACGTGGACTGGACTTCACACCCATGTCTATAAAGCTCATTCCTCTCAACCTACACAAACTGCTTTAAATTCAGGAACATTTAAATGCAAGGTATGTGAATGTAGTGACCTCTCTACGGAGAGAGATTTTTTTATTCATATTGGGACACATCTGCACAGTTGTGAGACAGTTGGTTGTGTATTTCTTGGATGCTCCTTCCAGACAAATATTTACAGTACATTTTACACACACAAAAAGAGAAAGCATCATCCACACACATTAAAAGATTTTAAAACCAGTGTAGTTAAGTTTGTGAAGCCTGTCCAAGGATCGGATGCCCCTGATGCTGTTGTAGCTGGCTGTTCTGATGTGTCATTTGATGAGGTTGAGGCTGAGACAGTGACAGAAAACGATAGTGGAGCTGTTGAAAATCTACCAGAAGTAATTGAGCGGAAAATAGCAACAATATTGTTAAAATTAGAACATATATTTCATATTCCAGCAAAAGGATTAGATGAGTTGTTGGAGGAGTTTCATTTTTTAAGTTCAGCTAGTGTACCTGTCACAAAGCGTACAATTACAGAAATTTTCAAAAGCCATAACCTCAATATTGGTCAGGCAGTGGTCGAAGAACTTGCCAATTCTGTGTCTCTCTCTAACCCTGTCGCTAAAAGTTTTGAAAAGTGTGGACCTCTTGCCACATCCTATAAAAGAAAACAATATTACAAGCTAAATTTTAGAGTTGTAGAGGCTGTTGAGTATATTTTATCTGTCGAACAAAGGAGGTCATTTCAATATGTCATGGGCAATTATTTGGTCTGCCTGAGTTAGCTGAAATTCTGCAGATTTGTATTTTGCAAGGCAAGATACATTTTATTGTGAAAAAGTTATCCAGTTGGTATAGAGAGCACTTTAGAGCTTTTGAACTGGGCACGTCACATGTGAGAGAGGTGGCTCTGATTGAGCATGGGGAGCTACTTGATGACTACCCGTTAGCTGCCTATTCAGTGGGATGCGTGTGTGTGTGTGTGTGTGTGTGTGTGTGTGTGTGTGTGTGTGTGTGTGTGTGTGTGTGTGTGTGTGTGTGTGTGTGTGTGTGTGTGTGTGTGTGTGTGTGTATTTAGGTCTCCACAATGACCCAGCCTATGAGACTGAGGGTCATCCTGAGTGACGATGATGCCAGAAAACTAATCCTGCCGGCAGGTAGACCAGGCTCCATGGAGGAATTGTACAAGACTATAAAGATGAGTTTTGGATTAGAGCAAGATTTCCGTCTTCAATATCAAGATGCGGATTTTGGAAATGAGTTCATAAATCTGTCAGAGATCACTGACATTGATGACAAAGCGACTTTAAAGGTGGTCTATGTTGTGGCCGTCTACTTGCAAAATTCTACAGAAGATGACTCGATGCTTCAACCTCTACCAGTCCAAAGCCTTACTGATTCCTCATCAGTCTCCTCCGGTTGACACGGATAATACAGGGTTACTTCATCATCAGGGTCATCGCCATCTGCATGGCTGTTCAGTTGGCCAAGTGTTTTCACAGTGCCTCCCTTCAACGATGAGTCTGAACTGCAACTTGAAACGGCCAATGCTGAATGCAGTGCGAATGGAACTTATTTGAGCTCGCCACCGAAGCTGAAATCTCACATTCTGGAACGACTGTCTGAAGAAATTCTTAAATTCAAAGCCTATCCAACTGACAATGATCTTACTGACGTTGCAGAAGCACTTGTGAAAAAGCATCCTTGTCTGAGGGAGCAAGGATCCTTCAATGGCTGTTATGGGTGTCCTGAGGTGACGATAAATTCACTAAAGAACAAGAACCAAGACAAGCGTTTGGCAGCACTGAATGTGAAAAAGCCCAGGAGGGCAGAAGTTAATTACTGTCCTCAGCATCCAAAAGGAGAAACCGCTGAGAGTCTGGAGAAGGAAAGAGTCGCACTGCTTTCAGAAAATAAGAAGAACAACAACGACCATATTGTGACATTGACAATGGAGAAGACTTTCTCATGCAGGAGGCAAGAAATCCTTGCAGGAGAGCCTTTGGTTGCAGACTTCAAGAGCAGATGGCCAGCTCTGTTCAATGCGAAAGAGGTGCGTGTCCTATGTGTGCTCAGGTTTAATTATTACCAGTTATTTTTCTCTCTACTGACAATGATTAAACAACTAATAGTTCATTGCTCATTCTTCTTGACTTGTGATGTTCTTACAGGGTTAGTGACATTTGCTTTATTGTTTTCCAGATCGATAAGGAGTTCCATCGCATATCAACTGTACCTCTACTTTCTACATTCTTTGCTGCTCTCGACCGGTTCTCTCCGTGCCTGATGGAGATATTTCAGTGCAAAGGTGGAGCACCTGGAAGAAGAATAAGACATGTCATGGTGGATATTTCCAAGGTTTGTATTAAAGAGTTGATTTCTGCTTATACAATGTTTTTACACAAAGAAATAACGGATGCCCTCACATTCCTGTTAGCAAAAGACGTGCCCTATCAACACCATTAGTAACGGTTTAATTTTTTATTTTGACATTTATTTTATTCTTTTTTGAATATATTTTTCACTTATTTGCCGTTTTCTTGTTCTTCAGTTCAATTAGGCCTATATTTAAAGTTCAAATGAATTGTGTTAAAAGAAACACCTGTGTTCAAAGTTAAATAAATGCATGATGTTCTCAAACAATGTCTTTAATAATCATGATTTGTACCAAAATCAAGCAGCCATAATACACTGTCAGCTGTATCTGCAAGACTGGTGTCGGATTTTTGATTTCAGTGCCTATAAATGATGCCCATACACAGTATTAAAGTAAAGTTTTTTATTGTAAAGTTCGTATTGTAATTTTTGTAGTGCTTTTTTATATTTTTCCTGTTGTACCTGAAGTTAGTAAAGACACGGAATATCATAAATTGATATTCACTCAGGACGACACAAGACGTGCATGTGTCCTCAAGTCCTTGTGGATCTACTTGAACAAAGACCCAGAGAAACTTGTTAAGGATTATATGGTGAGTTACGTACACAATGTTTGACAAAGTAGCTGTAAAACAATTGGAAAGAGCAAATCTTTACTTGCTTGGTATGATAAATTCACAGTAGAAATTAACGGTGAAACGTATGTGTTAAAGCTCCAGTGTGTAAAAGGAATTGCCGTTTTTCCAGAACACACTCTGAATATAATATTCAGTATTAAGTATTTTTTTATTGGTATAATCTCTTGAAAATAAGTTATTTCTTTTATGGCCTTAGAATAAGCATTTTATATCTACACAGGAGTGAGGAGCAGCGCCATGTTTCTGCAGTAGCACAGAAGGGACAAAGTTAACAGCCTTACAGGGTTTTATATATAGTGGGTGAATCTGGGGAAATGCACCTGTTAGAATAAGAATAATTACGAGAGAATAAATAACTGCATACATCTTCACCTCATCACTTGATATTGTAGAAAGACTTGGGGCAGTGGTGGATGATGTCATCTTTAGTCCCTAGCTTATTGTCCTTGAAGGCCACTGTAGCTTCTGTAAATTCTCCCTAAAGGGAATGTTTACATATAAAATCTTATCACTTGATGATGCCAAAATACATGTTATAACACACTGCACCTTTTAGGCAGCAAAACATACCTTTAAAACCTTTTAGGCCTAATACAAATTCTGCCTATTATTTTATCTAATTATGAAATTTCTTTGAGTTTGAAAACTAGAGACATCAAATTTAGTGTTCTCAGTTTTAAACAACCATGACAATATTTATCATCTGTTTTGTGCAGAGCTGGGTTGAAGTCATAAATTCAAGCAAACATAAAACAAAATGTACTTATTATATCCCACAGAACACAGACAGCGAGGTCAGCGCTTCCATGGACCAGACTGTGTTGGGAGTGTATGTCATACAGAAGGAGGGTGCGGAGCCTGGAGATGACCTAAGTAGATGTCAACAATGCAGATTTTTTTTTTTTTTGCTTTAGTTTAAAATTAGAATTCATGAAAATGTTCAGAAGGACTTGCATTCAGTATGCTCAACAGACAGAGACCAAGAATGTTGTCTCAGGTTGAAATGTGTTTGCAAGCAGTCTAGTGTAGCTGTTTGTTCCTGGTTACTTTCTGCAGGAAGACTGTAAGAACTTGAAATGACAGTCATGCACTTACTGAAAGATTTTATAATGCTGTTCAGTAGTGTTAAATGTTTTGATGAGAAAATGTTTTAGATGCATTTGGGGGAAAAAATGTATATTAAACTTTAACCTTACATGAGGAAACCCCACCAATTTTACGTTAAAATGTTTTAACATGTCTAAGGTATTTCTGCTTATGTGAAGAAAACATATACTTTTGGGGCTCCAGAAGAAGCTGTATGTTATCTGCTAAAAATGTTATTCAGTAGCAAATTGCTACAATTGCATTGTGGGTAATGCTGGCAAAAGGTTTATTAACGCCAAATGTAAATAATTCTTGTCCTAGGAATGAAAGCAATACTAATTAAACCAGCGAGATTGACATTAGTTCATTCAATAACACTGACATTAGTATAACTGACAAACCCCGTATGTATTGATACAACAAGGTTGAATTTTGTTCGACTTAGGTGTTTGACCAATGTAGAGTACATTCAATTTGATTTAACCAAAATAACTAAGAACAACCATTTAAAATCAACAAGATGCAAATTAGTTGTGTGCAAATATTAATATGATGTTGAACACACATGTAATTGTGTTCAAATAACATGATAAAGTTTGGCTCACTTAACATGATTGTTTAGATGGAATATAGGTGATATAAAATCATGTTAATCCAATGAATTATTATTCTGAGTGTAGTTCTCAACACCGGCCACATGAGGCTTTAGAAAGGAAAACAATTCAGATAGGGAAAAGTGATAAAACAGAGAAAACAATAAGGAGAGAAATAAATATAATAGACATAAACGTAGAGCAAAGGCAGCATGATCAAACAATTAACCAGTCAGAAGCTATTCATGTGAGCACTGTTGTTTTGATTTTAGCCATTGTTTGAGTCCTCTGTTAAAAGCATTCCTGTTGCTCTCTAGTTTTATGCCAGTGAGCAGAGAGCTACAAAGTTTTGCCCCCTTTGCAGAGAAAGCAGACTGGCCAAAAGATGTCTTGTACACCGCTGATAGAGACTCGTTTGACTGCCCTACGAGAGCTCTGACGCCTAATGGTAATTCAGATAACAGTGGTGACACATGATATTACACATTTTAAAAAACAGTTTAAGATTATTAAAAATCATAAAATTGTCAAAGGTGAAATGGTTGTGTTTTTTTAAAAATGCCACAGTGATTCCATCTCATAGTTTCTGGTCCATGACTTTTATTGTCTGCTTATATAAAGAAACAATAGGTTTTAATGTAGTTGAGAAGTTTGGGACCATGATGTGATGCAATATGACAGAT